AACTAAGGTACTTCTTCATCTGAGGAGTGTCTATTATTTTCAGATGCTCATTTTTGAATTGGGTCTTTAAATTTGGATACTATTTATTTTTTAGTTCTTTATCTGTTCTAGATATTAGACCTTTAAGGAACAGCTGGCAAAATTTTTTTGACTCTGTTGGTTGTGTGATTTGATGTGTATAAGATTTTTTAATAAGATGATTGTAAATTTCCCATGTGATCAGGGATTTGTTTATAAATTCTTTGCCTATACCTATGTTTTTAAGAATTCTACTGGAGTTAGGGAGATAGCTCAGTAGTCTAAGCACCTGCCTGGCAAGCTCAAGGACTCAGGTTCAACCCTCCAGTACTGCATGCAGTGCTGGTCCTATGTGAAGCTAGCCACTGAAACCAGGTGTGGTGGTGCTGGGGGAGGCTGAGACAGGAGGATCACTACAAGTATGAGCCATGAAATGAGACCCTGTACCAAATAAAAGATTAAAAGAAAAAAAGCTCTACTTACTCTATCATGCAATAGATTTAGTGTTTCTTTTTTAATATTTAGATCTTGGATCTATTTTAATGTTAGTTTAGTGCATGATTTTAGACATGAGTCTAGTTTTAGTTTTGCAAAATGGAAAGCCAATATCACTGGAAAAAAAACCCACTCGGTAAGTGTATATAGTTGCTTTTATATCTGATTGAATTTCATTTCTATTGTTTTGTTAAGATTTTCTCCTGTTTTCTTCTAGATATAGCCTGGTTTCACCTTGTAAATGTGAAAGACAGGATTAGCCCTTAGCCTTTGCTTAGGTGTGGGTGTCACTCACTGGGGTGACAAGCTTTACCATTGTGTTTGGTGGAGTGAAGTGTTATGGTATGAATGGAAATGTTTTTGTCTTTGTCTTGTATATACAGAAAGAGGCTTTAGGTAGTTGTGTGTGTGAGTGTATGTGTATTTATGCTTGACTCTGCTGACATTTATAAATTATTGACTATAGTAGCCAGCTTATCATCACTGTGACAAAACAGCCTAAATACAGCTTTTTGTCTCATGATTTTAAAGGTTCTGTCTATGGTAGGTGAACATTGGTTCTGGGGTGAGGTAGAACATTCTGGTGTCAGTGCATGGCAGAGCAAAGGTGCTTACTTCATGGTGGCCAGAAATTACAGAAAGAGAGGATGGGTTAAGGACCTAAGATTCCTTCAAGGACCCTCCTTTAATAACCTAACTTCCAGGATTGGCCAGATAGCTCAGTGGACTAAAGTACCTGCTTCAGCAGAATGCAGTGGCTGGGGTTCAATCCCTGTTGTGCCATGCCAGCCCTGCCCCGGGGCACACTGAGACAACAATGGAGACTGGGCATGGTGGTACGCACCTGTAATCCCAGCACTTGGGAGGCTGAAAACAGGAGAATCACTACAAGTCCGATCTATATAGTAAGACCCTGTACACCCTGTACACCCTGTCCTAAATTCATAACAAAACAAAGCAAAAACCCCACAATAACCTAACTTCCTTGCACTAGAGTCAACCTCTAAAATGTTCTATAACTTTCCAGCACAGCCACAGGCTGAGGACCAAAGTTATGACACATGGAACTTTGGGGGACAATGCAGATCCAAAACTCAGCACGGGCATTGTCATCCTAAAGTCTGAGGCAGTAAGACAAAAAAATAAAAACCAGAGATACCCTATCATGTAGTTCTTTGTTTTATAAGATTTCCAGATAGTCTGCCTTCTTTTTTAACCTTTCAGAGTCTTACGTTGGTTTATTTTTTTTTTATTTTTATTTTATTTTATTTTTTGCTCTGATGCCTGCAGGGCAGGTTTGGTTGTCTTGAGTTGTGGGGATCGAACCTCAGCAACCTGAGCCTGACTGCTTTGTTGAAGCAGCCACTTAAAGAACTGAGCTATGGGGCAGGCCCCCTTGTTGGTTTATTTATAAGTCCACAATTTTAAATTTGGAATGGGAGAAGAATAAAAAAATTAAGTTTACTTTGTCTTCCTGAAAAAGTGGGAATCATTTTAGTAGATATTAGTTGATGTTAATGAATATGGAATATTTGGAATAGTGATCATCACCTGGACTAGCAGGTCATTTTTGAGTTGCTTCTATGATAACAGTTATATCATGTCAGATTACAAGTGATATGGAAATCTAAACACATGACACAGATTATTGCTCCTCTGTAGTTTTCATTATCTGCCAGAGTGATTAATTGCTGTGGTTCCATTCGTACACTCCCACTTGGTGAGGAAGCCCCTGAATTTTTTTGTGTATCATTTCTGGCATTATGATAATACCACAGTCAGATCCTTAGACACTGAGGTGTCTGACTACACAACTGTGGCACACAGACTCTAACACATCTCCCCTGACCTTCACCTCCTGACTTTTAGGAAGTGCCTGAGTGAAAGCTGAGGACTCCCTTGCTGACATTCAAATTGAAATTGAGGACTTAGCCCTATAATTGTAAAGAAGTGAATTCTGCCAACAGTTGGAGGGAGCCTGGAAACAGATTCTTGCTTATGAGAGCCTGCAGAGAGAACATAATCTCGTTGACATCTTGACTGCAATGATGTGCATACAGTACCCAGCTACATCGTGCCTGGACTTCTAACCCTTAGAAGCTATGCAATCATGTTTGTGTGTTTTTTCAAGCACTAAGTTTGTGGAAATCTGTTACATCGTAGTAGATAAAGGGCATATCAACCACTATGACTGCATGTATGTAGTGAAAATTTTATTAAAAATTTTTTAACATATATTTTCTTCGAGTCTTTTAAAATTAATTTTATTTTCATACTTTGATATACATGATGATCACATTCATCATATGGAATTTGTATGTGTATGTAATACATTCTCATTCTTCTGTCCTAATCTCCTTCCCCTCCCTGAAACCCTCCTCCTTATCTACAAAACCTTTATTTTCATTTCTTCCTCCATCCTGTTCTCTTTTTGTTTCCTTTTACCTTCCTTCCCCGCCACCTTGTTTCTCTTCCCATCTGAACATTTTCTTCCTACTTCCCAATGTCTATCCTTCATTTGGGTCCTATTTGCATGTACAGCTTCACACAAGAGAAAGCAGTATTTAAACATGTGTGTCTCATTTATTTCACTGTAAAGTATGGTTGAAAAGTGCATCCATTTACCTTAAAATGTTGTAGGTGTATCCTTCTATATGGCAGGGTAGTCCCACTGTTTATAAAAACCATTTTCTTTATCTATTCATCCAAGGATGGGCATCTGGACTGTTTTCAAGATTTAGGTATTACAAATTGTGCTGCAAGAAATGTGGATATGCATATATCACTGAGGTATGATGCTTTTAATTCTTTTTTTATGTATTTGGTAAAAGGTCTCACTACGTATCTCAAACTTGTAGTGATCCTCCTGTTTTCAGCCTGCCCAGCACTGGGATTATAGGTGTGTGCCACCACACCAGTCTTTTTAATTCTTTTAAGAGGGAGAATAGTTACACCAAATATACCTCTACTTTCAATTTTTTGAGAAATTTCCATACTGGTTTCCATATCAGTTGCACCAACATACACTCTTACCGACAATGGAGTGGGTTAGTTTTTTCACCCACAGCTTTGCCAGTCTTTGCTATTGGATGATTTCTTGATGCTAGCTACTCTTTCTGGAATGAGATGAAATCTGTTTTAATTTGCATCTCTTGAATGACCAGTAATATTGAATATTTGTTATATATTCATTTGTGAATGTGCATACTTCCTCATCTGAGAAGTCCTTACTCACCTCAGATGCCCATTTTTTGGATTGGGTCTTTAAATTGGGGTGTCCGGTAGGGTGAGTTCTTTAAGTATTCTTTGTGTAACAGTTGGCAAAATTTATTTCCCATTCTGTGGGTTGTCTCTTCCCTCCGTTGGTGAAAGCTGTGGACATTAGATACTAGAGAGGCTTACAATAAATTCGAACTTTCATATTGGTGACTAAGGACAGACGAGATTCTGTATCCATAGTGCAGTAACGCAGACATTTGGTTAGAGGCAAGGGTGGCTTGCTGGGATAGGCTGTAAGTCTTAGTCTCCTTAAGCGAAATGTAGATGATAAGGTGTGTGTGAGAACTGAATATGATGATGCCTGTGGAAGCTGCCTAGCACAGGGCCTGGCACACTCCTGGTGAGCTGTCCAGGGGTTACTACTGCACCGAGCAACATTTGTAAAACAAAGTATCAGTGAATTTTCAGATCTCTCCTCCTGTTCTCCAAGATTTTTCAGTCATTTTCCCCCAAAAGAAACATCTTCTGCTTCAGTCTTCTCAGTTCTTACATACAAAGAAACATTTTTTGTTTTTCTATTACTATCATCACACACGCAAGCACACACACACACACACACACACACACACACACCCCAGACACAAAACACAACCAAGTCCATCAGATCACTTCAGAGCCTACTCCTGGGCTTCTGTGCAGAAACCACCATAGTTATGGTTAATGAGGAGTTCAATGAACTGTTCTTTACCTCACCAAGAAAAGTATACCGCCTGCAAGGAGTAGGCTCTTCGTCTCCGTTATTTACTCCATTAAGAGCAGGGCGGTGAAGCCAGAGACGTGACCTGAAAGCGCTTTGGAGGCCTGGAACTCCTGTAGCGAAAGCCAAGGGACTTTGCCTTTTTCATCATCCAAAGGACAGAAATCATCCTATTTAAACTAGCAGGGCTCACTGCCTGAAGACATGGGCCTGACAGGACAGGAGCAAATTCTGGGTGTCGTCCCGCGGCCCTTGCTTGCCCGCTCCCGAGCCTGCCGCCGCACAGTGCCACATCAGCGGCTGCACTGCACTTCCAGGTTCCTTAGGAGGATGCGAGGAGCTAGCCCGGTGGGCGGGGGCGGCCTGAGCCCCGCAGGAGTGTCGGACCGCTCAGCCAATGGGCTGCAAGTGCGGAGCTGAGCCCACCAATGAGCTGGGGCTTCTTCTAGCCTGGGCTGCTCAAGCTCTTTACCGCGTAGGGACCAGATGAAGCACATCTGGCCAGCTGTGCTAGGAGACTGTGTGGCCTCTTCAGAGGCAGGACGTCACCTAAGCACGTCCTCCACGTCGTCTCCGTCTAGCTATTTATTATTTATTCAATTTCGCCAAGAAGCAACCAGGGCACCAAGCTTGAAACTTTTTCCCCCACCCCCATGAGAGAAGGGCTAGGCCCGTTCAACACATAGTTTAATTTTCAGGGACTTCTGAGATCAAAAGAACAGAAACAGCAACAACAAAAGCCCAGCCGCGGCGGCCTGATTTTAAACTGGCAAAGTTAGAAAAATAAAGTTTGGGTAAACAGAGCAAGCTGGGTAAGTTTTGAATACTTGCTGGATATCATATTTCTCCTGCTGTGATCTCTGTCCTGTCTTTGCTGTTCTCACCAGCCTTGTCTCAGAAGAGAGAGAGAGAGAGAGAAAATATCTCTTGGTAGCACACACTACACAGACATTTCGTTTTCTCCTCATCTGTTTTGCGAACATTAAATTTTTTTGTCTTTTTTTGTTTATATTTTGGGATGTGCTGTTTTAAAATTTGCAGGGAACGAAAGTTTGATTGGTATTTTGTTGTAAGCCTCTCATAACTCCAAAGTTAAATGGTGCTATTTTTTTCTTATCTTTTTTTTTTTCGCTGTGAGAACATTGTATACATTTATGAAGACTGAAATCTTTATCAATCCTCCACTCCCTGCTTCCATGGAAGACTGAAAAAATTATCTGGTCTATTTAGAATTAATACAACTTTTGCTTCTGTTAGTAGGATGTTTTGTATTAAGGTATTTAAAACTTGGCTTATATAGGGAATTGTTGAATCTTTCATTTAAATTGAATCTGATTGTAATCCAAATATATGTTTTCTGTGTTCCTTTATCTCCAGTGCAGGACTCAAATACTTTTATGATTGTTAAAATATTAAAAAAATAACAGTGTATCCATAAATTTATGTTTATGTTCAACTTGTAATTCTATCAAATTAATATTCACAGTGATTGCTATATGTTAATGTTTGCAAATATTTCTGGTTTATATTTCAGGATTTAGAAATAGGATGATGAAAAAATGTTGAGCTAGGTGTATAGCTGAGGTCCTCTGTATCTGAAACATTTATAATTTCCTTCCGTATAAAAAGTTATAAATTTTAAATTTTGTTACACAGGAGATCTGACCAGAACTGAATTTTAATTTCTAGCTCAGAAAGTACTAGGTTGGAATTTGGCCCTGAAATTATACATGGCAGAGTGTTTTTGATTCAGAAAGGTAATATGCACAAAAGGGTGGGACAACTGCACTGGTTTTTAGAGATGGTGGGTGAAGAGGATTGTTGCTGTAGAGAAACAATGTTCAGAGCCAGATGTTTAGTTTCACCTCAGACCTTACAGCATGACCTGGGGCAGGTTATGCAGCCCATCTTTGTTTTATAATGTTCTTAGAATAATAATGTCTGCTCCAGGAGTTTGTCTATAGGACTGAGCTCACATATGTGCACCAAGCAAAGCATGCTGTTTTGTGAGTCTGCTGTTGTGCTCATTCTGCGTGGCCTTCCTTCCCAGGTTCCCCTGCTGCACATCATTTTCCCCTGCTGCCACTCTGACTACTATGCTAGAAACTAGCATTTAGTACTGAGCACTTGGTAGCAGGACTCTGCAAGACTGTATAGAGAAGTGAGACTTTCATGGAACAGAAGATAGAATTGATCAAGGGTCTCACATCTTGAAGGTTCTTGGTATACAGGGGATATTTTAAAAGGTCATTTTACTGTATGATGGCTTTACAGAAAGCTTAGCATTTCTGGAAAGAAGTTTGTCAGTCAGTTTCAGTTGGGGATGAAGTAGAGAGATCAAAGATCCGCGGTTATTATTCTATGAGTAAGGGGAAGCAGGGGTGAAGACAGTGGCTGAAAACTGTGTAACTCTTCTGGAGCCTTCAGGGTAATCTGTCGGAGGTTACTGGAAAGAAAGGTTGGCAAGTGGCACAAGTAGGAGAGAACAACATGTAGTTCCAGATGGGGAAGGAGAGGTTTGGGAGTTCAACTAGTGGAGGTTGGTGAGCTGAACTGGCAGCAGTTATGCAGTCTACTACTACTATGTTTCTGGAATAAACCAAGTGTTGCACTGATTCTCTACTTCATGCCCAACATGCTTTCCTCAGCTGCTGTGCTGCTTCAGTGACTTCAGTTCAGGGGTAGGCAGAGCTGGGTAGTAAGTCCAGGCCACATGTATTGAATTCACTCAGTGGTGATTGTCTTGGAGCTCTATTTAAATGATCTGAAGCACTGAGCCTTTAATCAAGCCACTTTATGTTAAGGCCACTCCCAAGTCTTGGACATGGATGTGATTGCTATAACCATCTGATGTCCCCACATACATAGTGTGCAGAATCACTTTCTCATCCTGCTGATGAAATCATTGCAGATAGTCACATGGCAATGGCAATACTTGCAATCTTATAATATACTTAGAATTTTATAGTTTAATCTTAGAATTTTATCATTTAGTATTAACATTTTATAACTTGTTATTCTAGATAATACCTGAATATGCAGCTAAATTCGACATTCTCTTGCCTTCTCTGTCATTTTATTTATCTATGTTTTTCTTTTCTTTTTGTCTTTGAGACAAGGTTTTGCCATCCAGTTCAGGCTGGCCTTGAGCCTACTTTGTAGCCCATGCTGGACTCGAACTTGTGATGATCCTCCTGCCTGAGCCTCCCAAGTGCTGGGATTATGAGTGTGCAACCACACCCAGCTGCCTTCTGTGTCTTGAGTACATTGTGATGAGGCAGAGATCTGTGCCTCATGCTGCTCTTGACCACCTGCCTGAGCTCAGGCAAGACGTGGAGCCATTAGACCTCTCTGCGCCATCATCTGCGACATGTTCTGTGAGGTCTTACTCTCTTGGATGACTACTTCCTCTTCTCATTCCATCCCTAAAGCAGTCTGTTGCTTACACATTTGATACATCTATGGCTACTGTTTTCTGACCACTTAATAGATGACAAATGTTGTTGCGAGTGTTTAATATGGCTTAGCCCATGGCGGTAAGGGTTGGTACCTGAGTATGTACTATTTTTATGATTGAGGAGACAGAATCAAAGACAGGTTGAGTGACTTACTCCCACTTAATGAGCAATGGCAGATACAGTAATGAGCACTTCAGTTCCAGAAACTGAGCCTTAGTCATTAGACTGCTTTGGGAGTGGTGATGATAGGGAAGAGCTTTGACTGCTCTTGTTTGTGGTGATGATAGTGAAGAAGTTCAAGGAATAAAGACTGTTGGAGTCAGGGGAACATTTGAAGAGACAGAGTTGATAACACTTGGCTGAAGGCTCCAGAACATCAACCGGAGTTTTGTCTACGAGGTGTGCTCAATGCAGAGACAGGAAACATGTCACTTACTTATTAGATGGATCCCATTGCAGGCAAACATTCTGTCTTGCCTCTTGTTTCAGAAAGAGCTTACCATGACAACTGGACTTGTCGTAGACCTTCAGTAACTGTCAGTTAAATAATTGTCACAGGCCAATCAGATAGCTCAGCGGATTAAAGCGCCTGCTCAGGCAAGCACAGAGTTGGATCCCTGGCATGCTGTGCCGGCCCCATCCCCAGGTGGGCTGAGACAGCGATTGAGACTGGGCGTGATGGCATGTGCCTATAATCTTAGTGCTTGGGAAGCTGAAAACAGGAGAATCATTACAAGTTCGATTTGTGTAGTGAGACTCTGTTCTAAACACATGAAAAATATTGTCCTCATTTAAGAAAGGAAGTTGTAGCCATGATACTTTTATTAAAAATATAGAAACTATGAAATATTATAAGACTTGTTAAAAATTAGGGCAGATAGGAGATAAACATTGCATTACTACTTTTTGGACATTGTTTTTTCTCAATTTTTTTTTTTTTTTTTTTGTGGGAGGTAATGGGTTTGGGGTGAGCAGTTTTCATGATGAAGGTCCCAGAAGGGCTATTTTTGGTGTAAGTTATTACTCACACCCAGTCTGGATTTGAAGTCTTTTAAGAAATCCATTCCTTAAATTTTTTTATATTGAATCAACTTTAAAATATTATTTGGAAAACATTTTAACTCACTCTTTATTTCGTTACTTTCATGTAGTCACCCCTTGCACCATAACATTGGAAATAAACAAGAACAGATGCTTTCTAGTCAGATTGTATGGGTTTCAATTCCAGATCTGTTCTTGCTAGTGTGACCTTGAATAAGTCACTTTATCTAGGATGCTTTCGTATCCATAAAATGGGGCTATCAAAAAGCATTACCAAAGTTCACATAAAGTATTTTAGCTTAGTGTCTGCCTCATAGTAGAGACTAAATAGAAGCCATCAATCTTTTACTGTAATATATATATATATTATATGATATATGTATATTTCATATATGGTAGATTTATATTATATATTATATGTTCATATTTATATATTGTATATTGTATACATTTTTAAGGGGGGCAATTAAATGGCATTAAATGCGTTGTTTAATGGTCATTGAAATGTTTTGTGCCCTAAACTTTTCATTTTCTTTAAATTGAAGAGGCTTTCCTCATTAGCTGAGCAGCCTTCAGTTTTATGTGCACAGCTCCTTTCGTTACTGCAGCAGTCCCTGGGTGCATGGAGTTTTGTTGCTTCCTCAGTGTTGGTATAGTCCCTCAGTTGTGTGTGTCAAGCTGATGACTGCACAGAACCCAGACATTAGACAAAACAGTATTCTGAATGTTTTTGTGAAGGTATTTTTTAGATAAGATTTACATTTAAGGGCCAGCCAGATAGCTCAGTGAATTAAAGAGCCTGCTTAGGCACAGGAAGAACTGGGGTTTGAGCCCCCGGAGTGTTGTGCTGCCCTGCCCCCGGGGTGCGGTGAGGCTGCAAATGAGACTGGGCACGGTGGCCTGTGCCTGTAATCCCAGCGCTTGGGAGGCCAAAGAAACAGGAGAACCACTACAAGTCCTATCTGTGTAGTGAGACCCTGCAGACCTTGTACTAAATACAAAATAAATAAATAAATTATTTAAAAAAGATTTACATCTAAATCAATAGATTCAGTATACTCTTTATAATGTGAATGAGTCTCAAGCAAACATTTGAAGATCTCTACAAAAAAAAGACTTCATTAAAAAAGGAGATAATTCTGTCTCAAAACTGCCTTTGGAAGTACGACTAGTACATCATCTCTTCGTTGGACTCTCAGCCTTCTGGTCTATGCTGTACCATTTGCATTTAGCAGTCTCTGCAATTTTCTGACTCTGTTACTAAAATCAATAACATGCTCCTCTTTTAAGTAAGCTGTATATGTTTCTTTGGC